TGAGCCAACCTCCTTTCGTGAAGCCATCCGTCATGCTTGCTGGCGGGAAGCAATGGCCAAGGAAATTGCCGCCTTGGTCGCCAATGGTACATGGAGTTTGATTACTCTCCCTCCGGGTAAGCGGTGTATCGACTGCAAGTGGGTGTTTAAGGTCAAGTATCGACCTGACGGCTCAGTAGAACGCTACAAAGCTCGCTTAGTCGCAAAGGGATACACGCAGATTGAAGGTGTAGATTTTCATGATACTTATGCGCCGGTAGCCAAGTTAGTCACTGTTCGGTGTTTGCTCGCGGTCGCAGTCAGTCGAGGGTGGTTCATACATCAGCTAGATGTAAACAACGCGTTTCTTCATGGAGACTTGTCGGAGGAAGTCTACATGAAGCTTCCTCCCGGTTTTGCTAGTCCAGGTGACAATCGTGTCTGTCGTCTTCAGAAGTCCATCTATGGGCTTCGTCAAGCCTCGCGTAATTGGTATCAAAAATTCACCAATGCGCTTGGCGAGCTCGGTTTCCGCGCGTCCCCAGCGGATCATTCACTGTTTGTTTATCGTCGAGATGATGTTTTTGTCGTTGCACTAATCTATGTGGATGATGTCATCCTGGCTGGAGATAACATGGCCTTCATTGATCATGTGAAGCAGGTTCTTGATCAAAAGTTCAGCATCAAGGATCTCGGTGTTCTTCGTTATTTCTTGGGCTTGGAAGTTGCTCGTTCTCCGCGTGGAATTGTCCTCAGTCAGAGGAAGTACGTCTTGGATATCCTTACCGAGGCTGGTGTACTTGGTTCTCGTCCTAGTGCGTTTCCGGTGGAACAAAATCATCAGTTAACTAAACCGGGTTCCTCTCCCCTGGTGGATGGTTCTTCTTACCGTCGGTTGATCGGACGTTTACTCTATCTCACGGTTTCTCGACCCGACATCACCTATGGGGTCAACATACTCAGTCGCTTTGTCCATGCTCCGACTCAAGCCCACATGGACGCGACGATGAGGATTCTTCGGTACTTGAAGACTTCGCCAGGTCAGGGTCTTTACTTTCCCGCCGAAAATTCACTGGAGCTAGTTGCTCATTGTGATGCAGATTGGGGCGGGTGTCAGTCTACTCGTCGGTCTACCAGTGGTTTCTTTATCTCCCTTGGTTCGGCTCCCATTTCCTGGCGTACTAAGCAACAGAAAGTGGTTGCCCGGTCATCTGCTGAAGCAGAGTATCGGGCTATGGCTAGCACGGTTAGTGAAGTTATCTGGTTACGATGGCTTCTTCAAGAGTTAGGAGTCCCGCAGTCTCAGCCGACTCCTCTCTACTGTGACAATCAGGCTGCTCTTCACATTGCAGCTAATCCTGTGTTCCATGAGCGGACGAAGCATGTGGAAATGGATTGTTATTTCGTTAGAGAACGGTTCATTTCTGGTGACATTCTTCCACTCAAGGTCAGTTCTCATCTTCAGGTTGCTGATTTGTTCACCAAGGGTTTGGGAGCAGATCGTTTCCGTTTCTTACTGTCCAAGCTGCACGTTCGTGATCTTCACCGTCCAGCTTGTGGGGGCGTATTGGATCAGGATCAAGTTGAGCCCAAGTCAGCCCATGTGGGCTCGGCTGTGTTTACAAGTAGTTGCAATGTTGAGACTTGTACGGCAAGGAGTCCTTGTCCTAGGTTGCATTGTAATTCTCATTCATGCTGTGTAAACCTAGGAGATGAGGACTATAAATGCATTGTAGGCCATTCGGCCAATGTAACCTAGCCGCACAGCAATAATAAGATCAAGTCGGAGAGGCAGTCCTCTCCCGTGGATTAGTCTCGGTCAATACTAGACCGAGGATACCACGTAAAACTCTCGTGTGTTCTCGCGTTCTTCGTTTGCGTAGGCTAGATTTATTAGTCCAAGTAGGCATGTTTGTCGTAAGAGGATAGGATGCCACATGTCGATTAATAATTGGCAAGTATCTCAAGCCTTATGTCCCTTCTCTTTGGGACGTGAGGTGTCAAGGGGTTCAATGTTGGGCGGCCATCATGGTGGCCGGCATGCCAAGCCTCCCACACCGTAAGACATGGCATGATACCCTCGTGATAAAGCATGGCTTGAGTAACTAGCCATGACATGGAAAGGAAATTGAGCTAGTTAAGTTTTACTTCCTTTTGTCGGGGCCTAGCATTCTATAAAAGGCTATGGGTGCATGGCTTTGTAATCAAAGCCAAAATTTGGCTAAGGAAAGTGGTGCCGAGATAAGTATTATTTTTAAGTGGTTCAGTTGATATAAACTACTTAGTCCATAATTCTTATGCACTAAGTAGTTGGGGGGCATTTGTTTACCACTAAAAAAAATAACTTAATACCACATTGATTATTTTCAAGGAGTGGTAGTGATTTATAAGGCCAGCTCAACATTAATGATTAAAAGAGATAGCTGGGCCTTGTTGGGTTGGGTTTTTGGGCCTAAGTGGCCAAACCCCTTCTCCTCTATACGATGGCCGACCCGTCTTCGTGACCCCATAGCCGGACGATGCCTCCACCCCTTGGTATGAAATTTGACTAAGTATTGAGACCCAACCACAAGGGGGTCATGCATGACCTCGTCCAAGGGGGTCTCGTCCAAGGGGGTTGTGCATGATATCGTCCAAGGGGGTCATCACTAGTACCCCTAGCTGTGGTGGCAGAGAGAGCCAAAATTTGGCTAAGTGTTGAGATCCACAGCACAAGGAGGTCATCGCGAGTACCCTTTCGCCATGTGGTGCAAGGAAGGCCAAAATTTGGCTAAGTGTTGAGACCCACAGCACAAGGGGGGTCATGCATGACACCGTCCAAGGGGGTCAAGCACAAAGGGGGTCATGCATGATCTCGTCCAAGGGGGGTCTCGTCCAAGGGGGTGAAGCATGACATCATCCCAGGGGGGGGGGGGTCAAGTATGATGTCATGCCAAAGGGGTCATCGTGCTAGACATGATGGGAAAGAAGGCTAAATTTGGCTAAGTGTTGAGACCCATAGCACAAGGGGGGTCAAGCACTATGCCATCTACCTACCTTGCACCAGGGGGGTCATGCATGACACCGTCCAAGGGGGTCAAGCACAAAGGGGGTCATGCATGATCTCGTCCAAGGGGGGTCTCGTCCAAGGGTGTCAAGCATGACACCGTCCGAGGGGTGCCAAACAACCGGGTATCAAATAGGAGGCCATCCGTGCTGAGACAAAATCGGCTAAGTATGGGGCAAGAGGGTACCATGCCGGCAAGGAGGGCCTGGTACCAAAACATTGAATTTGGCTAAGTATAGAGCCAAAGGGGTATCAAGTCGAAAAGGCATGCTTGATACTAAAATACATGAAAATTGGTTAAGTATGGAATCACATGGCCATAGCAAGAGGGTACCAAGCCGGCAAGGCATGGCTTGGTACCAAGACATGAAAGGCATGAATTTGGCTAAGTATGAGGCCAACGGGGTTGGCAAGACAGGCTTGGCAGCCAAGCAAAGCGACAGGGTATCATACCCCTTGGTATCATGACCCCAAGGGGGTATCAAGCCGGTAAGACTGACTTGGTGGCCAGGCAACAGGGGGCCAAGACGGACTTGATAGCCAGACATCAGGGTATCAAGCCAACAAGACAAGAAATTCGACGAAGACATGGTGGCTAGCTGAGGTGGCCACCCGACTAGGTACCAAACAGCCATGTATGGCCCTTATGAATTTACCAACTTGATGAGGCTACAAAAACTAAGTATGGATACCAAGCCACCAGGGCTGGCTTGGTAGCAAGGGGTGTCAAGTTGATTACATAGGCTTGGTGGCATGCCAGAAGGTATCAAGCCGATGAGACGGCTTGGTGACAACCAACAAGTTAATGAGAAGGACTTGGTTTCATGAGGTGGTAGCGGACTCAGGAGCGGGGAGTCATCAAGCAGTCGAGGGTGAGATCAAGACCTCATCATGGCTCATGGAGGCTAAGGCAGGAACCTCAACCCCATCCAGTCATGACAGGGCGACGAGACGAGACCCCCAAGGCGACGATTACCAACTAGTCACCTAGGCAGCGACAAGCGGCCCCTAAGGCGGTTGGAGCAAAAGGCCAGCTAGCAGTTACTACGGCGGTTACCAAGGCAGTTACACCCAGTGGCTATAAATAGGAGAAACAAAGACGGGAAAAAGGTTCCACAACGAACCATTTGACACACTATGTCAAACTTTATCTTTTTCTCTGCAAATTAGCCATAGCCTTAGTTTTTGGAGCTCTCAATGAACCTCCATAGGAGTAGGTGTAATTAACTTAGTTTGTCCCCAAAAAACCATCAAAAACATCAAACACCCTCGTTCGAACATTGTTCGGAGAGGAGTGAACCGTGTTATTAATCGTTGTTCAAGAAGTCAAGGTGCATTCATTGTGTTCAAACACCAGATTTTCCTCGCCGGAAAACAGTTACAAAGGAAATCATGAATGGTTATGATATGACTACTTTTCCTACATCACTCACGCTTAATGTAGGGGAGTAAGATTAATGAATGGTTATGCAGGCTTTTAATAAAGGAGATTAACGGTTGTGATTCTCTTTTTAGCTGGCACTCCAATCATTCTATACCTTTTTTTTCCTATAGAAATTATATAAATATGATAGATAATAAAACAAAGAGGCAGTTGAGAATGAAAAGAAGGGAATGAAGCGGAAAACGCAAGCTAGGCAAGCAACACAGAACATCAGAAATAAAGTAAAAGGGTTTGGTTGGGGGATGGATTATTCCGCCTTCAGGTTTAATGGGATTGGGCTGCCAAATTCTTGTCGATAAAGAAAAGTTTCCTCCCACTCTCTCTTGTTTTCTGTACTCAATTTTTCAGTTAGCTGTTTGCTTTGTTTTTTCATGCATGTAAACTAAATCCGAAAGCTACATCTTGTTTTGCGAATGCTGCTATTAACACTTTTGAGAGGAGAAACCCTAAAACTTTCTCTTACTTTCTCATTAGAAATCTCAGCTTATATAGCTGCATAGAACAGTCCAAGCTTCTGTTGTGTTGCTTACATTTGAAGAAAGAAGACAAACCTTGCAAGAAAAGAAAGGACAGCCCGAAAAGGGTAAAGGTTGAAAATTACAAGTTTAGGTACTAATTGGCATTTTGCCAGAAACGACATCACTCCAAGATCTCTTCTTTACTTCCGTTTTCGTCGATCCGGTGTCGTTTGGAATCATCTTCTTCTCCCCTGCTTCTGTGCAGTCGACCGTTGGTGAAATTGATTTTGGTGAAAAACCTTTGTTTTCCCCTGATACCCCCGCAAGCTGGTGGGCAAATGTTCAGAACACCAAGCTTGGAGAGGAGCAAGGAGAAAGAAGCAGGTGGAAGAGGCTTTTTGATGGTTCTGGTAGATTTGCGGATTGGAATAGGTCCAGGTTGTGGTGGTGGGGATGGAGGTGGTGTTGGTATAGGGGAAGAGGACTCCTGGTTTGAGTCATCTTCTGTGTCTGTTTCAAAATGCTGGTCATCAGCAGGATTAATGGGAGTTGGAGATGGTGAATATGATGGACTTGGATCATCAAATAAGGCTGGATCAGATGGAGGTGAGTAGGCTAGGTTGGGGTTGGATGTAGAATTGTGAAAAGGAAATATGTGTTCATGAAATTGAACATCTCTGGATACAAAGGTATCATGAGTTAGAAGGTCATAAATTTTGTAGCCCTTCATTCCAGTTTGAAAACCAATGAATACTCCCTTCCTAGCTCTAGGCTCAAATTTTCCTCTGTGATTGGCTAGGGTACTAGCAAAACATAAGCATCCAAAGACTCTAAGATCTGACAAGTCTGGTGGCTCATTGTGAAGTTTTTGAAATGGTGTTTGATTCCCAAGAACAAGAGTGGGAACCCTGTTGATTAAGTAAACTGAGTGTTTTACACAATCTCCCCAAAAGGCAGGAGGAAGATTGGCTTGAAACTTGAGAGCTCTGGCAACAGCAAGGATATGCTGATGCTTCCTCTCAACTTTGCTGTTTTGTTGAGGAGTTTCAACACAGCTCAACTCATGAAGAATGCCAGTTTGGTTAAAGAAATCAGTCATGATGAATTCTTTACCCTGGTCACTTCTAATTCTTTTGACTTTGGTTTGGAATTGTCTTTCTGCATAGGAACAGAAAGCCTGAAGTTTTGGTCTAGCTTCTGATTTAGTTTGCAAAAGAACTAACCAAGTCATCCTAGTATAATCATCAACAATAGTGAGAAAATACTTGAAACCATCATAACTGGAAACAGGATTTGGTCCCCATATGTCAACATGCAACAAATCAAAGGCTTGTTTGGTTACAGAAGTGCTAGAAGGAAATGGAAGTCTCTTCTGCCAAGCAAAATGACAGACATCACAGGCTATAGAGCTGTTTGTATGTATCTGTGGACAAATTTTTTGCAAAAGGGAAACTTTGGAATGAGAGACATGGCCCAATCTATGGTGCCAAATGTCAAAGGCTTGGATGCTGGCAGCAGAGATGATTTGTGGTGAGTTGGTATCTACAGGGGTCTCAAGGTGGTAAAGGCCAGAGGAGAGCTTAGCAGAACCAGTCATCCTCCTCAGTTGCATATCCTGGATCAAGCAGATATTGGAAAAGAAGGTAAGGCAAAGGGATTTGTCTTTGGTCAGTTGACTGACAGAGATCAGATTGAAGCTGAATTGAGGGACAAATAAGGCTTCATGTAAGATGAGCCCAGCAACACAGGTAACAGTTCCAATGTGTGTTGCTTGAACCTTTTCTCCTGTTGGTAAGGTAATAAAGATATTGTTTGTGCTTCTGTAGTTTGTCAAATAGCTAAGTGAACAAACTATATGATCAGAAGCTCCAGTATCCAAAATCCAGGTTTGATGATGTGGTCTATTGTCACTCACATTAAGAAGATATTTACCTGGGGAGTCTGTTGGTTTGGTGGTGAAAGTAGCAGCAGTAAAGGAAGTACTGCCACTGGTGGAAGGCCTTGGATTACCTTTGTCATTCATCAAGGACATCAGTTTCATGTAGTCTGCCTTGGTAAGCTTCACTTCTTGGTGGAGATCCTCTGAACTGGCTGTATTCACGTGAGGTTTGATACGAGGTGGACCTCTTGGATTTGGGTAGCCATGCTTGCTGTAGCATTTTTCTTCTGTATGACCTTGTTTCTTGCAGAAAGTACACTCAGGTGGTTTGCCAGATGCAGTGGAAGTCCTTGTATTCATCCCAGGGGGCCAGCCATGCTTATGGTAACAAGTCTCCTCTGTGTGACCTAAAAACTTGCAGAAAGTGCAATATGGACGTGGTCTTCTGATCTGAGCATTGGTGCCTGTCTGAGCAGCAAGAGTGACTGCTTCTGCTGAGAAAACCTTAGAGGGCAGTGTGCCATTCTGCTGCCTTTCATGCTGCAACATCCTCTGAAAAATGCGATCTATAGAGGGTAATTCATCACCAAAAAGGACTTGGGATCTGACACTGGAGAAGTTCTCATTCAAGCCTCGCAGGAATTGAATGACATAATTTGTGTCTTTGTATGCAAAGACCAGTTTCATAGCAGCACAGGTTTCTCTACTTGTTGGTGTGCAGGTACAATGCTCAAGAGGTTGATAATTGTCCAATTCATCTCGAATGGCAATAAGGTTACCATAATATTCTGTGACTGACTGGCTACCCTGTTTGAGAGTGCTTAGAGATTCAGTAAGTTCATCAATTCTTACCACATCACCTTGACCATAACGAGATCTGAGACTGCGCCATGCTTCAAGGGAGGTTTTGCACGACATAATGGTCTTTCTGATGGTTGCTTCAACAGCCTGCTGGATCCATGTGAGAACCATGACATTGTTCCTGTTCCAAGCCCAAGCATTTGGATGATCTGCGCCTGGATGTGGAATGGAACCATTGATGAAGCCGACTTTGTTCTTGGCTCCAAGAGCATTTAACATGGCCTAACTCCAATCATTGTAGTTGGTGGGGGTAAGTTTCTCACCCACCAACAACAATCCTGGTTGTTCAGAACCATGGAGGTAATATGGATCTGCCATTGGATCAGCAGGAAGGTTGACAGCAGCAGCATTTGCAGCTTCATTGTTGACTGGATCGTTGGGATGGGGAATGGCAGCCATTGGGGCGGCGGCTAGGGTTTATGGAGGCTCTGATACCATATTAACACTTTTGAGAGGAGAAACCCTAAAACTTTCTCTTACTTTCTCATTAGAAATCTCAGCTTATATAGCTGCATAGAACAGTCCAAGCTTCTGTTGTGTTGCTTACATTTGAAGAAAGAAGACAAACCTTGCAAGAAAAGAAAGGACAGCCCGAAAAGGGTAAAGGTTGAAAATTACAAGTTTAGGTACTAATTGGCATTTTGCCAGAAACGACATCACTCCAAGATCTCTTCTTTACTTCCGTTTTCGTCGATCCGGTGTCGTTTGGAATCATCTTCTTCTCCCCTGCTTCTGTGCAGTCGACCGTTGGTGAAATTGATTTTGGTGAAAAACCTTTGTTTTCCCCTGATAGCTGCAGTTGCCACTTTGCAAGCAACATATCGTACGTGCGCTTGTTCTTTTCCGAGATCCCACAGGCACAGGTTACCCAACTTGTATATGTTAAAAAACCATTACTTTTTACAAGGTTTAGGCTTTTGATGCATTTGTGCGGACCGGGCATGGCGGGTAGAGCGAGTCTACCTCTTATTTGGATATTCCTACGGTTTATTAGTTTATTGTAGGATTAGTATTCGGATTACTATTCTTATTCAATCGGTAATTCTAGTACGGATGGGACTAGGTTAGGGTTACCATGTTTAAGGAGGATTAGGTTTAGGGAGACTCTCCTATAAATATGTACTTAACCTTGCATTTTATTTATCGAAGAAGAATAAACACCAGTATTTTCTGTTTCTTTTAGTTTTCGTATTTCTAGTTCCCAACGCGCGAGGCTGTCACGCGTCAATTGGTATCAGAGCCCGGTTTCGACAACGAATCGGGACAACGATGCCTCCCAAGAAGAACACCGCCGCCTCGCAGGACGTGGGTGATGATGACAGTAGCGGCCAGGCGGGCCGAGAGCTGGCGGAGATGAGGGCAAGAGCTGAAACCCTCGATCGCCACCTCCGAGCGACTGAGGAGGAACTCGGCCTCATCAGGAGCACGACGGGGAATCTGGAGAGAGGCCAGGCGACGCTGCATGTGGTTGTGGAGGAAATCCGATCGGGATATCAGGCTGGGTATGAAACCCTAGCGAAACGGCAAGCTGAGGCCGACGCGAAGCTCGATCGCATCACCAGCGGTCAGGAAAAGCTCCGAGCGAGCAACGAGGGCATCCAGGCAACGATCGCTCAGCTCGCGGAGATGATTGCAGGGATGGGGAACCGCGAACTAGCTAGACGGACTGTCGATCTGATCCCGGCAAGCGATAAACTCAAGGGGACGCTGACGGTGACCGAAGAGGAGAGGGGAAGCTCATCACCACTGCCTGTGACCCCGCATACCACGCCATCTCGGGGAGCTCAGGGCGGCGAGCTGCTGAAGACTCGGGATCATGCGATCCAGGCCTTGGGCGGCGCATGGGGGAGTTTGGCGATGGACACCGGAGACTACCGGCCCCCGTCGGGTCTGCCAACGGGCATGGGTGGCGGCCGCAGTCAGAGCGCCGTTGGAACAGGGATGGGGGCGAGCGGCTCGGGCCCCCGCCGACCGGAGCAGGATGAGCCGAGGGAGCTCGGCGCAGGCGCGGCAGGTGGAGGTCGGACCACGGGCTGGGGCTCGTCCGAAGGCGGGCCGAACCGCGAGGTTAAGAAGCCCGAGGAAGTTGATCGGGTTGAGCTAGGCGAACCGAACCGGGGAGCTGTGGGTTCCGGGCGATCGGAGGCGAGAGGGGAAGCCGCGACACCGTTGTTCAAAGGGCGGCAGGCTACTATTGAGTTCCCACGCTTCACGGGTCATGAAGATCCATCTGGTTGGATGTCGAGGGTGGAGCAAAAGCTGGCCCTGGCTTCATTCCATCTAGAAGGTGACGCCAACCAATGGGTTATGTGGTTGGAAGAGGAGTTCGAGCAGAGCGGGAAGGAAATGTTGTGGGAGGACTTCCGTGATGAATTCTGGAAATGATATGGGGCCTCGGAGAAAGCCGCGGGACATGAGGCGCTGGCAAAAATCAAACAGACAGGTACCGTGGAGGATTACCAGCAGACGTTTGAGAAGTTTCTCAATCGCTGCCGTGGGTGGGGAAAGGAGGCGATCATGGGGACATACATGGGCGGTCTAAATCCGGAAATTTCGGCCTACATCCGCGCCTTTAACCCGCAAAATACCGGAGATGCATACCGGTTGGCCAAGATTCGAGAAGAGGAGATGCGGGTCGAGAAGGCGGCAATGGGAGCTGTTTTCCGGGGAGTATCAGCGGCGCCAAAGGGGAGCTCTGGCCACCCCCGCCACCTGCTGCTGCCGCCACGCCAGTGCCGCCCTCGGTGGCGGAACGAGGACCACCACAGCAAACCCGCCGAGTCATTCGCAACCTCACACCAGAGGAGGCTGCCAGGCGTAGGAGAGATGGGCTTTGCTACAACTGTGACGAACGATTCACCTATGGTCATCGCTGTGCTAATAACCATGTGTTCGTCATGATCGGGGACTTCGGATCGGCTGAAGAGGATGGGGTTGAGCTGCAGCCTCGGGACGAGGCTTTCGAAAGGAGGGAGGATTGATGCATTTGTGCGGACCGGGCATGGGCGGGTAGAGCGGGTCTACCTCTTATTTGGATATTCCTACGGTTTATTAGTTTATTGTCGGATTAGTATTCGGATTACTATTCTTATCAACCGATAATTCTAGTAAGCATGGGACTAGGTTAGGGTTACCATGTTTAAGGAGGATTAGGTTTAGGGAGACTCTCCTATAAATATGTACTTAACCTTGCGTTTTATTTATCGAAGAAGAATAAACACCAGTATTTTCAGTTTCTTTTAGTTTTCGTATTTCTAGTTCCCGACGCGCGAGGCTGTCACGCCTCAGCTTTAGATTAGTTATTTCAATGGAATAGTTTTGTCCAAAATAATTCAATAACTCGTTTGACAACCAAAGCATCAAATGTAGGGATTTGGTTCAGGAGTAGTTGTTTCAAATAATTTGTCTTTCTAATCCTTTCTCTATACTATATGTTATGAAATTGACTGGTTCTAAACTATTCTCTCAACTAATTAATGACCAAGTGTAACCATCAATTGAGTGTAGTATAGCGGAAGTAAGTTTAATTTATCAACTCGATTGCTAAGTCTATTATTACTTCGTGAACGGTTCATTATCTAGGTAACAAGATTTGGTTTGGAGAAGATCAAATAAAGATTGATTTGAATTCAATTGAGAGAACATCACTCGGGTGTGCTTCTCTCTAGCCCTGGATTAGGTCGATGTTGACTTCCTTAGCTTGTCCACTAAAGATTTATACTTCAGACAACTCTACACTAGATCGGACTCCCTATTTGAGTTACCCAAGCCTTCTTTTTTTTTTTTTTTTTTTGACAATTACCCAAGCCTTCTTAGATGAACAATTTACCCATTATGAAGAATTGAAGAGTTCTCTAATCAACCTAATTGGATATTCAACCTTAGGTCAATAGTCCAAATTGAAGAGTGTGATCAATACCCAATCAACTTCATGATAATACATCAATTCAATATATAGTCAAGAGTGTAAACAAGCACATGAATCATTCAACATCAAATCCTAACATAGATGGCTAGAAATCTACACACCAAGTGAGAATGGAGTCTACTACATAGTAAGAGAAAGAGATGAAATCACAAACTCAAGAAGAGAAAACATCTTGTGGGAATGAGTTCTTCTTCTTGAGCTCTAATCTACTCTTGTTGATTATAAATCTAGCCTCCGATTAAAGATTGAAGCCTCCAATCACCATCTAGGGATCCTAGTTTCTAGGAGGTTGTTTCCTTTTTTCACTCTAAAATTTGTCTCCCTTCAAGAAACGATCGCAGCTCCAATTTATACCTAGCATTACGCAAGTCACGATCACACATCATGGTCGTGACATTGAAGAGTTGATGACTCGATATTTGCGCATGTTTTCCCCTTTGTTTCTTGATCGTTTGAGCTTGAATTATCGCTTCTTTGGGCTATTTTACGCTAGGTTGTGTTCCTTTGTCACATTTCAGGTCCTATCATGTAAATTGAAGCATAGACGCAAGTTTCAAGTCAATCGGAGATCATTTGGCAATTCGGGAGAAGAAACACGAGCATGACCTGAAGAAGAATGGATTTCTACCTCACTTTATGGACAAAGAATCATGGAATTTTGTTATGAAAAGAAATAGGACGAGACTACGAGCGTCTGGGTTCAAACGACGACTGATTTGGAGTCCGGACGAGGGAGAAACGAAGCTTTGAACAGGAGCGGAGGAAGAATTACGGGCAGGAGAATTACGACCGTAATTTGGCCTCCCATGCCCGTAATTTCACTGCCGAGAGGAGCTTTGGGTGCGCTGAAACATAACCAAAACGCGTGTTTTGGGAAAAATACGGGCATGGAAGAATTACGACCGTAATTCAGCCCGTAATTCGCCCAGAATCGGGTTTTTGAGGCAGATTCGAGCCAAAGGAAAGGGAGAGCTGGGTTTTGGTTCCCAAACACCCAAGGGACGAACCCTAGAGAGAGAGAGCGACTTGGGAACATTCTTGGAGCTATTTTGGAGGATTTCTTTGCCATTGGAGCTCGGGAATCAAGCTTGGAGATGGAGATTGAAGATCTAGATCAGATTTCTGCAGTCTCTCTCTTCTCTATGGAGTAACTTCCCTTCACTTAGATTTTGAGGAACCCTAGTTCCATGTGTTAGGATCTTTCTTGTATGAAGTTTTGGATGCTATATTGTTTGATTATAATCGATTGAGGCATGATTTATTGAGTCAATTGAATCTTGATAAAATTCTCTTGATTTCTGCTTTAACCTATGATAGATAGAATCTGATTAGGTTAAGAGAGCTTCCTTGATTGATAGTGGTGAATTGGTTGTGCGAGAGTCAATCAATTCACTGCTTTGTACTGGAATTCATTCCAGTAGTGGAGTTCTGTGTTCATAGCCTCAGCTTTCTATCCTGGTGAAGACTAGTCGTCTGCCGGGTAGTTTGACTGAGAGGGCTTGGTCAGCTTTAGAGATTCCAAGCTAATTTAGGATCTTCCGCAGTTTAATCATCAGTAGATCAACCAAAGGTAATTGCAACTTGGACCTAATTGAGGAGCTAGGGGGAATCATACCTAAGTGAGTTCCCAAACTGTAATTAGTAGTTTTACTTAGTTTAGTTAGTAGAGTAGTTTAGTTAATCAATCCTTAATCTAGTTTGCTAGATAATGAACTGAAGCTGAGTAATAGTAACTCTAGAGACCCGTGGATTCGATATTTATTACTTGTGCCACTATACTGCAGTCCCTTTCATTGGTTACACTTGGCCATTGTTAGGTGTTGTGTTTTAGCGTGTCAAGAGTATAC